CCCGTGTTGGGGGGGGGGAGTGAAACCCCAGAGCGCGGCAAAGCCTTAAGTAACGTGGGTCCCCCTCCGCTGATGCTAGAGACGCCGCGTGGAACTGGGGGAGATGTGGAGATCTTGAGGCACAGAGGCACCGTTGGGGTGCGCCGTAGGGCAAGAGTTACTGGGGTAGATGGTGACCAGTGATAGGAAGGGCGAAGAGGAGGCAGGTGTGATGCATGTAACTTACTTCAGAGCCCTTAGGAACATCTAGTTTGTTGTAATTGTCTGTATGATGTCCATTAAAATCCCATAAATGTTTGCAAGCTTCTATTCACAATACCTGGGCCACTGGCTTTTACTGTATCTGTATCAACCACTGTCTCATCTGAACAGCGCTCTTTTTTCCCCCCAGCAAAGCCACAGTAGTTGGTTCCATTATCGTGGAGCTCATCTGAGTGCTCATCAGAAGGCAGACTTATGTTAAGGATGGATCCAGTGACTTTGCTTTAACAGCCTGTGATTAAAATGTCCTAAAACAAAGATAAAGAATAGAGAAAAAATGGGATTAAAACAAAAGACACTATGCATAATGTATCCAGTCAAATTTGCAAGACATGAACTCAATAGCTACATTTGGGCACAATTTGCCATTCCACATAAAAATTCCTCTAAGTTCTGGGAAGAAGCGAGGGCTGCTTTGTTTCTAGATCTTTGCATTTTGGTGCTGCCTGTGGACCTGCCTGGTGTATATTAGAATAATAGAATCATAGAATAATAGGACTGGAAGGGACCTCGAGAGGTCATCGAGTCCAGCCCCCCGCCCTCAAGGCAGGACCAAGCTCCGTCTACACCATCCCTGACAGATGTCTATCTAACCTGTTCTTAAATATCTCCAGAGAGGGAGATTCCACCACCTCCCTTGGCAATTTATTCCAATATTTGACCACCCTGACAGTTAGGAATGTTTTCCTAATGTCCAATCTAAACCTCCCCTGCTGCACTTTAAGCCCATTACTCCATGTCCTGTCCTCAGAAACCAAGAGGAACAAATTTTCTCCTTCCTCCTTGTGACACCCTTTTAGATATTTGAAAACCACTATCATGTCCCCCCTTAATCTTCTTTTTTCCAAACTAAACAAGCCCAGTTCATGAAGCCTGGCTTCATAGGCTTCTCTAGACCTTTAATCATTCTTGTCGCTCTTCTCTGTACCCTTTCCAATTTCTCCACATCTTTCTTGAAATGTGGCGCCCAGAACTGGACACAGTACTCCAGCTGAGGCCTAACTAGCGCAGAGTAGAGCGGCAGAATGACTTCACGAGTTTTGCTTACAACACACCTGTTAATACAACCTAGAATCATATTTGCTTTTTTTGCAACAGCATCACACTGTTGACTCATATTCAACTTGTGGTCCACTATGACCCCTAGATCCCTTTCCGCCATGCTCCTTCCTAGACAGTCGCTTCCCATCTTGTATGTATGGAACTGATTGTTCCTTCCTAAGTGGAGCACTCTGCATTTCTCCTTATTAAACCTCATCCTGTTTACCTCCGACCATTTCTCTAACTTGCTAAGGTCATTCTGAATTATGTCCCTATCCTCCAAAGAAGTTGCAACCCCACCCAGTTTGGTATCATCTGCAAACTTAATAAGAGTACTCTCTATCCCAATATCTACATCATTGATGAAGATATTGAACAGTACGGGTCCCACCTATCTAAGTTATATTTGCCTAGTTTATCAATAAGAATATCATGCAAGACTGTATCAAATGCCTTACTAAAGTCTAGGTATATGACATCCACTGCTTCTCCCTTATCCGCAAGGCTCGTTATCCTATCAAAGAAAGCTATCAGATTAGACCAACATTAAGTCTTTATTGATGACTGTGTAACTTTATTTCTCAGTTTAGCCCAGTATTCCTTGTTGTCATGACTGGGCAATCAAAATAACAGGACTCTGTCACACATAACATTTCTTTACCTATTTGTAGACAGTTGCTATGCCTCTATTTGCCCCTTACTCTAGATAGAATATTATTCTGTCATTTTCAAAACTCTTGTAATCATTATTCACCAGTGAATTCTCTTTATTTGCCTCTCTTGAAATGGTTGCATTTCTCCTAGCTGAAGCCTAACTAATACTGTGTTTCACTATTTATCTAGAAAGGGCCCCTGACTTACTAGGTACTTTATAGATATAGACTAAAACAAATCCCTGTCCTGAAAAAGTGCAATATAAATCAATAACACACACACAGGGAATGGAGAAAGGAAACCATGGATTTGGGGGATGGGAGTGAGAGAAGGGCAGAGAGGTGGGAGAAAAGACTATAGAGACTAGGATATGGAACTCTGATTTGGAGCATTCTGTCATATGTTGGTTCCTGGAATTTTAAAATTACGTTTTTAGAAAATGTTTATGGAGAGGTTAGCAGATTGTTAATTGTGTGTATAATCTTGCTTGTTTTCTTTGAGATTTTGCTATTAATTCCCAGTATAACCATTATTGTTTTGGTCAGTGTTGCATTGTGATTCTTAATCATGTTGCTGTATTTGATAGAACAGAAAATATTTGCTTGCTTGCTGACCTCCTTCTGTACTCTAGTCACTGTGCAGTATTTTCTGTTTTGTCTTGTCTTGAACATGTGGGGTCAAATCATGTCCCTGTTGGAGTTAATTGGAAAATTCTCATTGGCTTCAGTGGAGCTGCAATTCACTCATATTTATTTACAGTTCTTTAAATGGATACCATCAACTTGAAATCTAGTCTGTTTAATAAAAGAGTTTAAAAAGTACTAAAACTAGTTTCCTGTACTAAGTCTGCATAAGTCTCTTCAACAACTTTGGGGATTTGCAGTTCCATTTTCCTCCTCCTCCTCTCCCCCCAGCCCTACTTTCTCCTTTATTGTTTTAAAGACCCTCTCAAATAATAGAGGAATCTGACTATAGAAAAGTAAGTGACATTAACTAAATACAGAGTTAACATTAACTTTGTTCAATTGATAAATAATCTTTTACTCTAATTTTCAGTAGGGATATTAAAATGCATTTAAGTAAACATGGGCTGGCAGTTGACTCCTCGAGAGCCAATATGCACTGGAAGCTGATACAGAACCAGCAAAATATGGGGGGGGGGAGGTGGAAGGTGGCTTCCCAGGAGTTGGTACACGTGAGAAGCTGGCTTTTAAGCCAGATACTCATGCATACCAGAAGCCTGCGTGTATTTAAGCCAGATACTCATGCATACCAGGAGCCTGCGTGTAACTGTTAAGGTTAAGTGATGAGCCCAGGCTCATCCGTTATCCATGTGCATGGTTACACTTTCACATTCCTAAATTCTCAGTTACAGTAACATTGGTAGGTAAATTTTAGATACAAGTATGATGTTTAAGTTGAAAGGGTCCTTTCAATTAGGTAGAAGTAAAAACTAGCACTAAAATAAGCAGGCATAGCCCATTGTCTTTAGTAGGGATATAATAGAATAACTGTTTAAACTGTTGACCGATAAGCATGAGCTTACCAGTTACTGTGAACAGTTACACGCAGGCTTCAGCCCCGTGCTGGGGGAGCCGGCTGCCATTCCATGCTGATGCCTCTGATACAGAGGCAGCAGTGTGGAGGTGGCAGCCAGTTCATTGGGAAGGGGGCTGCAGGTCTTCCCAGAGTATTCTAGGATGCATTTCATCAGGCCCTGGTGACTTGCAGACATCCCAGGGAGCCAGCTGCTGCCTGTGCTCCAGGTGTATGTAACTGCTGAAAATTTCAGCAGTTACATGGTTACCCAGTTACCTGCTTTTTAAAATCCCTCGTCTTCAGTCAAGTTGCACCCTGCTTCTCCAGGGCTGAATAGAGTCATGAATATCTAACTTTATCGAAAGGAGATATATGAACAACTTTTAAATAGTTTTGAATCCATTTCTTTAACTTAACGTTGAGGCCCTGTTGTATCATCATGTGATTTCCTTGTCAAGTTAGTAGATAGTTTGAGGAATGTGTAACAGAAACTTGATGGGCATCATTGGTATTTTTGTATTTATTAAGTTGGGGAGTAAGATATTTAAGAAGGAAATGTATTAACATGTTTCTAAAATAATATTTTGTAAAGGTTTGTGGAGTATTTTTTTTTATTTTTATTTTTTTTTCTAATCCTATCCAACCCAAATCATTAACAAACTCTAGGTTTCCACAGGGCAACTCATTCCCACTCTATTATTTAAAACTGCTAATACCATTGCAACTGTATTTGTGATTGCCCACAAATTCACTGTCATTCTCACCTCAGTTCAGTATGAGGGGCAGATGTTAGTACCCTGAAAACTTCCATCATATTCTTTTAATGGAAGCTGTTTCCTGAGACTCTGTGCTTGCCATTGGATCCATGCAGGTAGCAATCATCTGTGCTTCCATGCAGGCATGAAAGACAGCCTACTTGGATCAGATCTTAAATTTACCAATTTGGCATGAACTAACCATTTGACTTGCCGGTTTGTATTACCAGTTAAAAATGTGATTGTATTCAAGGATCAGCACAGTAATGTGGCAAATCTGTTGGTGACATGAGCTGCCTGAAAGCAATATCTTTATGTGAAGTATCTGAAGCATCCCAGAGACTGGGTAATCTACAAAGGAGTCAGTCAGAGATCACCATAAACTGTAAACGAAGGGAGGAATTATTTTTCCATAGTAGAAATGTAAAATCCCAATTAATTAGTTCACTGGTGAAACTTAACACTTAAACAGGGGAGGGGGGCTGCTCCAGCTGGGCTGGAACAGCCCTCCCCCACTGCTGCAGTCTCCAGCCCCTATCAGTTAACTATTCACATTCCTAATCCTTAGGTGAATTGTTTAGAAGCCCTAATTGATATAATCACATTAGAGTGTTCCTCTGGCAGTGTATAGATGTGTATAGATGATCTGTGATTTAGAAAACTCCTTTTAGTTTTTAACGGATTCTCATTTACAGTGGTGTTTTATTTAGGTGGCTTTTTTTTAGCAGCTGGTTGTCTTCACTGTTACTTATATATGTCCACCAGGTGGTGTATGAACACCACAAGTTCTCACCAGCCAACTTATTAAGCAATTTTTTGGCAGTTGGCTAGAGGTCACTCTTCTCTTGCTTGCAAGTATAAAATCAAGAAAGATTTCCTATGATAGAGAGAACTCAGATTTTTATATGCCACTGGTATGATTTTAACACTTTTGTTGACTTCCTTTTGAACTGTAAGAAATGCTGTGTTTACATGATCTCTGTGGTGGCATATCTATTGCTGCAAGCAGGGAGAGGAACCCCCTGAAACTAACATGGATGTATGAGACCGTTACTAAAATGGCATAGTATTTGGTCAAATTTTCTCTCCTTGCTAATATCCATTGTTAAGCAGTGTGCTGTATGAACTCCATTCCAAGTAATTCCATCTGCAGAGAATACCCCCTCCCTTCCTGAATTGCTGATGATTGTGCTCCCTTATATTAAACTTGGCCTTGGCTGTAGTGGTCTACTGATTTGTGACTGTAATGCTTGATTATTGCAATATGCTCTATCTAGGTGTAAAATCTATGGCTTTAAAAAGCTGTGACTGTGATTGCTGACCTACTTGGCATCTTGGGCTGGAATGTTTTCCTGTTGCGGTGTGATGTGATTACAAGGGAAGACCCATATAGAGAAGTTGAGCTTTAAACAACCTCCTGTTGTTGCATTAAGATCGCTTTATTTACCTAACCAGCTGCCAGTGATGCCATCAGTGTCCTAGTCTTTCCGTATTTGCTAGGTTGCCTGTGGCACTCCCACACCTGCCAGAGAGTGCTGGCAGCTAATCTTAAGTCCTTTTTTACACAACACTCAATTGTACATCTCTTGTGTTTCCTATGTGATGCTTTTGTCCTAAATGCCATTGTGTGAGGAGAATTACAATCATTAGTGAATCTCTGTTTTGGCTCTTACAGGTTAAGAAAGCATATAGGCAGAAAGCCCTGACTTGCCATCCAGATAAGAACCCAGACAATCCCAGAGCAGGTAAGATCAGTCTTGGTGGATACAAGCAGGTTATCCCTGTTAGTCCTAGTTGCATGGACAACTGGGAGTGGCTGTTTGTTTTTCTGTTGCACAGCTCTGTTTTTGCAAGTAATTATGGAGTGCCTGTGTTACTGAGTGTATGCACGTATCTCTGAGGTCTTGTCTACACATTGAGCTAATGCACACTTATGGAGTTGTGATTTCTACAGCGCACCAACTTGTGCATTAACTGGCCCGTGTAAACCCTGCAGGTATGCTCTAGGGATGTGAATGTTTATCTGAGTAAAGAGTTAACTGATCAACCCCAGGGATGTGAATGTTTATCTGAGTAAAGAGTTAATTGATCAGCCCTGGCTCATCTGTTAACCCTCACAGTTACATGCACTCCCTTTCTCCCCTGTGCTGCTGACTAGGGATGTTAGATAGCATGTAATTGAATTTTAATGGTTACACGACTATTCAATAGTCCCTGGGGTCGGGGCTAGCAGCCAACACGCTCCCGGCCCTGTTTCTGGAGAGCCCCTGCCACCTTGTGCTGCTGCCTGTGTTTAAAAACTGGCTCCCTGTGCAGACTGGCTGCTGCCCCGCGCTGCTGCCTCTAATACAGCAGCTCACCCCACCCCTTGCATGTAAATGTGTAACCACTAACAATGTCAGTGCTTACATGTTTGCACAAACATATTTTAACATCTCTGCTATGCACTAAAGGTTCCTTAATGTGTGTTAAGGTGGTAGTAAAATGCGCTTTCATGTGCAAAGGAAGGTCTGTGTGGACCAATTAATGTGCAGCATTTTAGTGTACTTTAGAAATTACAAATCTGTAAGTGCACATTTCTCTACAGTATAGACAAGCGCCGAGATACATTCATCATTATCAGGTAACTGAGTTATATCCCAATGGCTTCCAGGTCATTCTTCTAATCTGCAGCCCTAAAAATCTCTAGGGTTCAATATAAAACTGGTATATCATTATTGATTGATATTTTGGTAGTGCCCATTGTAAGAAAATAATATATGCTATATGCAAGCCTCCATATACAGGCAGTCCCCGAGTTACGCGGATCCGACTTATGTCGGATCCGCAGTTACGAACGGGGCCCTTCCTCTCCCTGGTCTCCAGCAGACCAG